CCACAGTCCATAAGACCCTGGCCATGCTGTGCTCACACTCCTCATAAGGCCTCAAACACCCCCCCCCCACAGTCCATAAGACCCTGGCCATGCTGTGCTCACACTCCTCATAAGGCCTCAAACACCCCCACCCCACAATCCATAAGACCCTGGCCATGCTGTGCTGACACTCCTCATAAGGCCTCAAAACCCTCCCCCACAACAGTCCATAAGACTCTGGCCATGCTGTGCTCACGTTCCTCATAAGGCCTCAAACCTCCCGCCCCCCGCTCTAGGTTTGAGCTCACCCCCTGCTGCCACCCTGGCCTGCATGCTCTTGCCATCTTGCAGCTTGTTCCTGCTACTGCCAGTGCCACGGCCTGCCTGCTGCCACTCTTACCACCGACCACGCCAGGCAGCCTGTTCCCGCTCTCACCGCCACTCGGGAGGACTGCCGTCAGCATCAGGAATGTCTCTCGCCGCCATGTTTGTCCCACCTTCCCTGCGCTGGCCCGATCTCCTCAGCGCTACACAAACTCACACCTCACTTAAGGTAATTAGATCAAACTAAGAAACAGAAGTGGCGAAAGAAGGAAAAAAAACACTGAAAGAAAAGAAAGGACGCCTAGACAAGCCCTGAGCAGGAGCCCGCATGCCCCGCTGCAAATCCGCCGCCATCTTGGAGGCTTGGGGTACCCACTGCGTCTGGGTAAATATAGGCCAAACAGCAGGCAGGTCTCCTCTGCTCATATCTGAATAGCATCGTCAGATCTTTTACATCCAACTGACAGCACAGATGGGGCCGTGAGTTTAATGTCTCACCAGAAAGGCAATATTTGTGACAAGACTGCACTCCCTCAGTACTGCGCTGGAGAGTCAGCGGGAACCTGTGTTCCAGTCTTTAGGATTTAAAGTCGCAACCTTGTGATTCAGAGGATGCAGGAGAAATGGGGAGCAGTGCTATCCCCTAAGCCATATCCAATACTATTGGATGTCCAAGACTTCAGTCTAGCAGATTCCCCTACTCTGTACAGCAGCTGCTTTGGCATCCATCATAGCCTCAGCCAGCCTGTTGTCTGCTGCGAAATGTGTGGCGATCCAGAAAAAAACAAGGTGTTTCTTTTCTAGGACAGCCTCCAATTCCTGGTTGAGTACTGGCTGGTTCACCATGATCATCGCCCTTGAAATTTGCGACAGAATTGATGTCTATGGCATGGTCCCACCGAACCACTGCAGGTAGGTGCGAACTGACATTGGTGTCATAGCATGAGGCTTTTATGTTGACTTCCTGTTTCCTGGTAGCCTGTAGTGTTCATTGTTTTAATTGTTCTGCATTCAATAAGGTGAGCGCGGTAACTGAGTTGTACTGGATTGGTGAAGCCTGGGTGTTGACTCAGAGCAAAATGAACAGACACCACAAAAGTGAGTAGAAGCTGAGCTGAAAGCGAGAATGCTGGTAGTTAGTGATTGCAGGGATATTTTAAAACAGTGTAAAAAAAAAGTTGCACCTTTATAAATGAGGTCATCACTGATCTGAGATTTATAAAATATACAACAAACTGGCCAGTACACAGCATAACCTGATCCTGAGCAGAGGTAGGGTCGACAGGAAGGGATTCTGCCCCTGATGGAGGGATCAATGACCCAGGAATAGATTTAAGGTAAGGAGCATCAGGTTTAGAGGGAATGTGAGGAAAACACTCTTTCACCCAGAGGATGTGGGAATGTGGAACTCACTGCCTTTGGGGGTGGTATAGGCAGAAACCCTTGTTATGTTTAAGAAGTAATAGACGGGCATTTGCAATATCAAGGCTTTTGGACCACATGCTGGAAAATGGAATTAGTATAGTTAGGTGGTTGTTTTTGACTAGCACAGACATGATGGGCCAAAGGTCCTTTATCCATGACTGTCTCACTCTGTAACACAGTGTGCAAGCCCTGAAGAGCATTACTATTAAGCAGGATGTTTTAGTTCATCAATCCGAGCAAACTTCACCAAAGTGATTGTACCAAAGTGATTCCAACACTCAAGATGGAGACTGAGACTATTGCGGATGTCAAGCCCCCAGTTGCTGCAGCATAGACTGTCAATCCATAGTACAACCTTCTGATCTACTGGTACTTTCTTTAAAAATTCGAGGGATTTGAGAGCCTTTGACAAGGCCAGCTTTAATGCCTATTCTTAAATGCCCTTGAGAAGGCAATGCTAAAACTCTGATAGCCACAGGGAGTAGGTACGCCCTCTGGGACATTAAGGTGTGGATTCTGCGGGTTTTGGAAAACAATGTGGAAAAATAGAACATCATCCATTTTGGCAGGCAGAACTGATTTGCAAGGTACGTCTTAAAATGGTGAGAGGTTAGAAAGTATTGATGTACAAAGGTATCCTTCTCAATTGGCCACTGAAGGTGAACTTGCAGGTGCAGCAAGCTTTTGGAAAGTTGAACAGAATGTTAGCCTTTATCACGAAAGAATGTGAGTGCAGAAGCAGTGAACTCTTGCTCCAATTATACAGGAATTTGGTTAGACCACACCTAGAGGACTTTGTGCAGTTTTGGTCTCCTTATCTCAGCAAAGATATTATTGCCGTAGAGGAAATGCAACAGGCAGTCACTAGATTTGTTCCCAGGATGCCAGGACTGACGTATGAAGAGAGATCGGGCAAAAATTTCTGTAAAGTTTCAACTATTGAGAGCTGATCTCTTTGAAACCCACAAGATACTTGATAAGCCAGGTAAATGCAAGTAAGATATTTCCCTGGCTGGGGAGTCTACAACAAGGGGGCACAGTTTAAAAATGAGGGGGTGCCTTTTAGGATCACGTTGAGGAGAAATTGTTTTACTCAGAATCTTTGGAATTCTATACCCCAGAGAGCTGGAGAAGCCGAGTATGTTTAAAGTAGAGGTTAATGGAATTCTATTTTGTCAGTGGCATAAAGTGTTATGGGGGATAGTTTGTGTAAAAGGCATTAAAGTGCTCAATCAGCCATCATTGTAATAAATTGTGGATCAGGCTTGATGGGCTGAATGGTCTACTCCTATTCGTAATGTTGCAGTATTCTCACCCAGTGTTAGGAAAGGCATGTTGATATTACTAGGAGGGGAACTTCAAACTGACGGAGTCCTCAAACCCCTGCTGCCTGTGTTGTTGTATATAGAGGACGTTGTGGGTTTAGAAGGCACTGTTGAAGAAGCCTAAGGGAGTTGTTGTAGTTCGCTGTGGATATAGTACACACCATGGCTCATTCAAGGTACTAAACTGAAGGGAAATCGTTTGGGCTTACATTCACCTGTGACTGCGTCCAACAGAATGTGAGCATGAATTGCATTGTTGCAGCTATTTAAAGAACGTCTAAAAGGCTGCAGCTGTCAGAATTTAAGAAACACAACAGCCAATTTGCATACAGCAAGGTCACACAAATGAAAATGGGATCATAGACTCAGACAGCACGGAAGCAGACCCTTCGGTCCGACCAGTCCATATCGCCCATAATGCCAAACTAAACGAGTCCCACCTGCCTGCACTTGGCCCATGTCCCTCCAAACCTTTCTTATTCATGTATTATCCAAATGTCTTTTAAACATTGTAAGTACCTGCATCCAACACTTCCTCAAGAACTTCATTCCACACAAGAAGCACTCCCTTTGTAAAAATTTGCCCCTCATGTCTTTGTTAAACCTCTTTCCTCTCACCTTAAAAATACGGCCTCTAGTCTTGAAATCCCTCAATCTAGGGAAAAGACACCTACCATTAACCCCATCTATATCCCCCATGATTTTATAAACCTCCGTAAGGTCACCTCTCAACCTCTTATGCTCCAGTGAAAAAAGTCCCAGCCTGTCCAGCGTTTCTTTATAATTCAAACCTTCCATACCTGGCAACATCCTGGTAAATCTCTTCTGAACCCTCTCCAGCTTAATAATATCCTTCCTACATCTGGGCAACAAGAACTACACACAGTATTCCAGAAGAGGCCTCACCAACATCCTGTACAACCTCAATATGACATCCCAAATCCTGTACTCAAAGAATTGAGCAATAAAGGCAAGCGTGCTACATACCTTCATAACCACCCTGTCCATATATGGCCCAAACATCAAAGAATTATGTACCTGAATCCCTAGGTCTCTCTGTTCTACAACACTACCCAGGGCCCTACCGTTAACTATGTAAGTCCTGTCCCTGTTTTTTAATACCAAAATGCAATATCTCGCGTTTATCAAGATTAAACTCCATCTCTCATGTTTTAGTAGTGAGGAGTAAATCATCACGGGAGCATTGGGGAAAACGCCTCCACTCCCTTTATCATCGTCATGGGATCTCTTGTATTCTCTTAAGAAAGGAGATAAGATGTGGAAGTGTTGGAAAAGGTACAGAGGAGATTTACCAGGATGTTGCCTGGAATGGAGGGAAAGTCTTACGAGGAAAGTTTGAGAGAGGTAGGGCTTTTCTCTTTAGAACGACGAAGGATGAGAGGTGACTTGATAGAAGTGTACAAAATAATCCGAGGTATAGATACAGTGGACAGGCAGAGACTTTTTCCTCGGGTGGAGGTAGCTATTACAAGGAGGCATAGTTTTAAAGTGAGTGGAGGTAGATATAGGGGAGACATCAGAGGTAGGTTCTTTACTCAGAGAGTGGTCAGGGCGTGGAATGCATTGCCGGAGAGGGTAGTGGAGTCGGCCTCATTAGGGGCATTTAAGCAGCTATTAGATAGGCATATGGATAATAGTATAAGGTAGGGGTGGAGGTTAGATAGACCTTAGGATTAGGGTAAAAGTTCGGCACAACATCGTGGGCCGAAGGGCCTGTACTGTGCTGTACTGTTCTATGTTCTATGTTCTCAGGAGACCAAAACTGCACAAAGCATTCCAGGTGCGGTCTAACTAAACTCACATATAATTGGAGCGAGAGTTCAGTGTCCCGGTACTCATATCGTTTTGTGTTAAAGGCTTAACATCAGAATGGCACCTGGGCCAGTGCCAATCTTCCTCGACACTGCACTAAACTAGCAATTTGGATTATGTGCTCACGTCTCTGAGCCCACAATCCTCAATACTACTGAGCCAGGTCTGTCAAAGATATATACAATACTGAGATTAGAAGGTATAATCAAACTCTTTACACTTAAATGAAGGTTGTTTTCATAAAATAACATCTTCCTGAATGTCCATCATTAACCACAAATAAACTGCAGAATCATTAACAACACAATCTAAAATGAAGTCTGTCTCCAGTACAATTCTGAAATTTTAACATATTTTATTAATGCTTTCCACAGCTTGATTGACAGGCAGGAAGGTGTTACACAGAGAAATTCTGGTTTATGTGGGCTCTAATTGGCAGTTTTCATCCTTAATTGTCAAAAAAATGAGGACAAGTCATAATGCCTTCCTGGTGTGACAGCTTCCGCATTAATCCACTGTTTCAGGTTTTACCCTGTCATCAGGAACCTCGCAAGAATTTTTTTTTGGTAAATCATGGATAAACTCTTTATCAGAAGCAGGGAGTGTTTTGCCGTTGTTTGTACCAAGGGCAGAAGTGTTTCATTGAATAATGGTCATGTTCCTCCCCTGTGCACATCATAAAACAGAGATTTACAGAAATGCACTTATTCATAGGGACATGACACAACTGTTTCTAGATACTTTTCAGAGAAGTCCTTACTCAGCCCTGGAGCAGGCAGGACTTGAACCTGGGCCTCCTGGCTCACAGATAGGAACACTACCACTGTACCACAAGAGCCCTTGGGAGCTGCTGTATTTATTTTTACCCAATCTGTTCAGAGATGTTATTATACACGTCTAAGACTTGAACCTCCTGGCTCAGAGATAGGGACCATACCAGTGCACCACAACAGCCACCAACAATTGATGTTGAAAGTCGAGGTATTTTTCTCCTAAACAACCTGTTCAGAGATGTTATTACACAGCTCTGGAGCAGGCAGGAGTTAAACCCAGCCCTCATGACTCAGAGTACTGACTCTAGTGCTGTACCACAAGTACCCTCTTGCTGCACAGATTATAACTGATGCAGAAGTTATTCTGGGACTTAATTATATCTTTAACCCACGTTCTCTCTCTTGATAATCATTGATTTTTTTTAATCATTCATGGGATGAGGGAGTCACTGGCCAAGTCAGCATTTATTGCCCATCCCTAATTGCCCCAGACAGCAGCCACATTACTGTGGTTCTGGAGTCACATACAGGTCAGACCAGGTAAGGACGGCAGCTT